GAATACTCTAAAAAAAAAAAAAAACTACTGGAATAACTCTAAATACTCATCAGTAAATACTAGTTTTTCAGCTCGTGACTGAAGTTTATTAAACAATTTCAATTCTATTCAAAATTGCTTTATTGGCATGACTGTAAAAAAAATACAATATAGCCAAAGCTTGGAATATATGTGGAGAAATATAATAATAGCAATGAAATTATCAAAATAATAGAAGAAAACATTATAACGATTTAAACGTGTGATCATTTCATACCACAGTGTTTAACATATAAACACACACCGGCTGAGGGTCACTGTGGTGGACAGTAGAGAAACACACGCACAACACAAATGAAGGGATTTAAACACAAGACGTGTCTCAATGTGCACGCCATCGGTTAGGTGAAGGTCAAAATCTGCCTCTTTTATGTCAAAGGAACAGTCAAACCTGTTCTGCATTCTCTATCCGATGTCTAACAATCACAATGTTATGTCTATCACCCAGATACACCCAGCTATTCACCACAAACATTAACCGAAACAATTCCCTTCAGTAGGAAATGAATTAGCCCTGGGAAATGTCGCTCTGCTCCTCGAGCACACAATCACGGCTCTGTAAACACAGCCAGTCAACACTTTTCAATAAGCTGAACCTCAGTCGGCCGCTCTGGTGAGAACAGAGTCACCGTTTACCGTGAAACACACACTGCAACGATGGCTGGGGGTGAGAAACACACAAACACACATTCATAGCAGCGACTGGAGGAGAAACTGGAGTGTTGCACGTCGCAACGCTTCACTGCTAAACACCAGACGATTCTCCAGAGGCCTGGGAAGTGACTCAGAGAGAAGTGAAAATCCTTTATTTGCATACGGCCTGATCACAGCTAACGAGCTGGTATTGTGACGATGGCTAGATGAACACAATCTGCAAGAAACCCTAGAGCTGCTCTTATTCAGATTAGACTCTGCTGCTGCTTTAGTTCACACATCATCACTCAGTACTCAGGTTTCCTCTAATAATACTCAACACAATATACTATACTAAAACACAATACTCGTCTAAAATACCACATACTCTGAAAATACGGAATTCTCTTAAAATACTGAGCACTCTATAATACAATAAAATACTACATACTCTTAAAATATGAAGAATTCTGAAGAATTCTACTTTCTGGGGCCACGTCCAAGAGTTAAATGTTTGCGATTAATTTTTGGAAGTCTGAGAAAATGGCAAGGGCATGTAGGTAAAACATGGTTAAAATGTCCTGATTAATCTCACAAAGAAATGTGTGGGTTACATTTCATCCCAAAATAAAAATTAAAAGATTAACACATTAATTAAATTAAATTAAAAATGTAAATGAATGAATAAAATAAATACTATATACTCAAACAATGGCATAGTCTTAAAATGCACTCTAAAATACCGAACAATAGGCTTAAAATAGACTCTAAAATATTTAATAATCGACAATAACGCAAACTCTTAAAATACAGAATACTCCTAAAATACTGAGTATTGCAAAATACTGAGTACCATAAAAATACAAAATACCCTTAAAATACGGCAAACTGTTAACGCCGAATACTTTTAAAATATGGAATACTCCGGTGTTATGGATCAACTGGGGATCGTGTTAACTGGGGATGTGCGCGTGCATGTGAGCTATTTTACATCCCATTCCAGCAGATTCGTCAAAAGCGACTGCAAAGCTGTAATGAAAAAACGCTGGTACATTCTTAATAAATGTTAATGCAATTATTACGCTGTGTTGTTTCCTCAATACCTGTTTTAATGCATGCGACACAGTTTAAGTGTCATTTTAACATGATTTCACATGGTGACATGGTTCACAAACCACGCCCACTTTATCTTGGCACATTCACTTCTATGGAAAATGACAATCACTCAAATAAACGTATATTTCAACTGTAATTCACTTCCATATACACTGAGTGAAAATAGCATTATTTAGCAGTTTGTTATTTACACTAAGTGCAAATAGCAATAGATTTTATTTACACTATTTAAAAATAACAGTATGTTTGCATTAAAGGGGTCATATGATGCTGCTAAAAAGAACATTATTTTGTGTATTTGGTGTAATGAAATGATAGATGCTATTTATACTTAGTGGAAATAATGGCAGAGTAAGTAGTATAGAGTGTGAATATATAGTATAGAAAAGTATGAGAGTGTAGTATGTCTTGTTTCTCACGTCTCTGTTGTCCCCAATCACGTTTCACATCATTCTTACTCTTTATTACTTACACTCTCTATATTAAATACACTCCATCTTACTTACACTCTTTATTACTTGCACTCTTTATTACTTACACTCTATATTACATCCTCACTCTCTATACTAAATACTACGTACTTCTAAAAGAAAGACTACTCCTTTATACTGAGTATTCTAAAATACTGAATACTCTAAAAATACGGAATAACTGGAAATACTCATCAGTAAATAGTTTTTCAGCTCGTGACTGAAGTTAGTTGGTAAGTTAGAGTTTTCAGTTCGAGTTGAACCGAGCTTCTGCTTTAACTTTGATCGTCAGTTTTGGTTTTGGAATCACCGTCCACTGGAGTTTCTGACCGACTTTAATTCGGTGTCCATGCGAGAGTTTCTCTGGAAACAAAAGCTACTAACGTTAACGTCCGCGAGCGTCGCGGGAAACTCACTCATAATGAAATATACTGCAGTTGGATCCGTATTTTCGCGGTATACTCACAGGACAGCGAGCGGCGCGCCGGATCGGTAAACACGGCCGTTCAGGTCATCCTCATCCCCGCGACGCGACGCGACGCGTCCGCCGCTCCTCACGCAGCCGCTCACTCACAGAGACAGCCGCGGGGGGACGCGGAACACAAATACAGCACACAACACACACCCGAAACACCTTCAACTGAGCGGAAACACAGTATATACTCATGTAAACACATCAGGTATGATTCCTGACAAAGATACTCGCGGTTCTGATTAATATTTCAGTTTAAATGAAGAAGCTTCCCCCCCGCGTCTGAATGGACTCGCCCAACGCCGCACACAGTATACGCATCGCATCACAGCACGGAAAGCTTGCCTCATCTATGATTAACTGCTCAATTAATCTCATTTATCAACGAGTTCGCACTAAAACAATACGTGTGTGACATCTGTCTTATGAAAGAAGAGAAAACAGCATGGTACTTTGATAAACTGGCACATAGTATCAAATATACTATGACTTTTTAATCAACAGGAAGAGATATTGTTTGATACATGTATGCATGAAGGAAAGAGTAGGTTTTGTAAATAACACTTTTTAATCATATTTTGCCTTCACTAGTTCCTTTTCACCGATATGCTGTGTGACAAATTAATTCTGACACTCATTGGTTTTTATGATAATTAATTATGTCCAGTCCTGATCACAGGATACCTATCTGTGACCCAAAATTGAAATTGAGATTTATACATCATATAAATAAATAATCTTTCCATTGATGTATGGTTTGTTAGGATAGGACAATATCTGAAAATCTGGAATCTGAGGGTGCAAAAAAATCTAAATATTGAGAAAATCATCTTTAAAGTTGTTCAAATGAAGTTCTTAGCAATGCATATTACTAATAAAAAATTAAGTTTTGATATATTTACAGTAGGACATTTACAACATATCTTCATGGAACATGATCTTTACTTAATATCCTAAAGATTTTTGGCATAAAAGAGAAATGTATAATTTTGACCCATACAATGTATTGTTGGCTATTGCTACAAATATACCCCAGCGACTTAACACTGCTTTTGTGCTGCAGGGACACATATCAGAATCTGGTGTCTTAATAGTTTTTCTTGTTGATAAATCATCTCTAATAGGCCAAACACACATGTTGAATGAAAGGGGAAATGCTGCTCATTATGTAGGTTTAGCTGTTATTTGGAGTGCCTAAGGCTGATAATGAAGCGGGTTCAGTTGGGTTTGAGGAAAGCTGCACACTCTGTGTGTGTCTGTGTCTGTGTCTGTGTCTGTGTCTGTGTCTGTGTCTGTGTTACTGGGTTTGGGTTTGTTCCCACATCCCTGAAGGACCGGAAACTGATCTGAGATCTGAGATATGTGACTCCATCTACAGGAGCATCTGGAAACTGCTGCACATGATGCATTGACTACATATCTGAATGTCTCTAGATTCAAAATAAGTCTCATTTATTGATTCAAAGTGAAAAAATATTGGTGAAGAGAAACTAATGCAACATTTGACCAGTAGTATATATCATGACATTTCCATGTTTAAATGCAACTAAGTGAACATAAACATTCTGTGGCTGCAGTAAATCAGCTTTCAGTTTAAGTTATGAGAGATTTCCTCTCAGTGAAAAACAAATAATGATCAGCTCAAGACTGTCAGAGTAACAGCACATTATATCAGAGAGCGGGGCTAGTTGTCACAAGTGTCTCTGTAACTGAGGTTCTCTAGCAGTGCTTGTGCATGTTGATTTCAAACACTTCAAACTGGCCTTAATACAAATCAAACATGACCACAAAGCAGATACCTGTGAGAGCAGGACAAGCAGTGTGTGTGTCAGGCACAATGCAACAAAAACATAATTTGAAAATCATTCATATTGAAATAAATTTGACATCGTTCTCTTTTCTGACCGACTCTCTCAAGTTTTTTTCATTTTCCATTCTTTTTCAATCCTAAAAGTATGTATCATATGTATTTTATTTCAGTTTTAATATGATTTTGAAGTAACGAAGTAATGAATGTCCCATTCTAGGACTGGTTTTCACATGGTGCGGAACCGACCAATCAGCGGCGGTGCGTCTGATCACGTGCACGTGACGCTGCGAGAGACGCTGGTCGTGTTTATTTTGTCAGCGCCGCCATTAAATCCGCGTCTAAATCAACATTCAGAGATTAGAAACAGCATTCGTCGACATAAACCTCTATTCAACGATTGATATAAAGCTGAGAGATTAAAGAACACGATAAAGAGAGACTGAGGTGATTTAAGTCTCTTTAACGAGGAGCTGCGCGCGGAGCTGTGAGTATTTACATGCTTAACAGTAATCTGTGTCGGAGTATTAATGTGATTTATTTATATGATAGTGTCAGTGCTGCGAGATATTAGTAACATCTGTGGTGTCAGTAAATAATAACACTCTCAGTGCTGCCTGTGACTAATAACATTAATACCAACAGTACTGTGAGAAATGAGTTTCATAACATTAATACTGTGAAATATGAGTATTACAAATTACATTAATACTGTGAGATACGAGTATGACTAATAACAGTAGTACTGTGATATGCGAGTATTACTAATAATAACATTAAAGGCACAATATGTAAGATTTTTTTATTAAAATATCCAAAAACCACTAGACCAGTGTTATATATTTTGCTGACTTGTGTACTTACATTATCCCAAATGTTTTGAAGAATGTTTAAATCCAGAGAAATAAGCAATTTTAACTAGTGACTTTGTTTCTTTGTTTGTTTTGAATACGTGCCCTCTAGCGGCGAAAATTACAGATTGTGCCTTTAATACTGTCAGTTACAAACATCACTAATAACATCAATACTATCCATACTGTTGGTGTCAATATTAATACTGTCAATTCTGTCAGATATGAGTGTCAATAGCAATATTAATCCTGTCAGTGCTGTGAAATACTAACTGACAATATAATTAATGCTCATATGTTACATCGCTGACATTATAATTGGTAGTATTTTTGGAAGTATTGAAGACTAGAGTATTAAAGATAGAATTTCTTGCATTCTGTTCTGTATTTCTGACATGTCTCATATTATTTTGTGTTTGCAGATTGGTTGTCTCCGTATCAATGTGTGAGCCTGATGTAAGTTTGTGTTGTTGATTGTGTATGAGAGAGTGAGCGAGAGAGTGAGCGAGAGAGTGAGCGAGAGAGTGAGCGAGAGAGAGAGCGAGAGAGAAAGCGTGCGTGAGCGTGCGT